TGAACTGGATGGCTCTCAGCTTTTGGGGAAAATTAAATGGTTTTGCATTAGTTTCACTTGCTTTCTACTGTTCATTCTAAAGGGTTTATTGAAATGACTTTGGGCCAGTCATTCTCTCTCAGCCCAAATCACCTCACAGGCTTGTTTTTGTGGGGAAAATATGAGGAGGAAGTTATGCTGGAAATGTTCACTACCTTGAGTTATTTCTAAAAACAAGGGCAGGATATTAATAAATAAAAAGAAAGACATTTGCAAACATAGTTTAATTAAATTTTGAAGCAATCACAATTAACAGAAAGAGGCAAATAAATGTTTCCTGTTCCTGTGACATGAACTTTGACCTGAGGTTCAGTGTGCCTTTCTGATATTCTGATGGTGGTGGGTTAATCCTATTATGTCCCAAAGGTCATATCCTGCTTCCTTGAAGCTGTGGCTGATGGTTTACTTCCTGTGTTGCATTTCTTGGGTGAGGGGTTGTTGATTCTAGGGATCTTTGTCTTTCTAATCCCATCAACTCTAAGCTTCATGGCTCCAGTCTTTCTGAAAGAATTATCACATCTGCATTTCTACAGACCTGGTTTCTGCTTGGGGCAGAGAAACTTTGGGGGTAGTCTGTCTAAGATTTTCCATTATTCCTTTGGGGAAATATAATATTCTGCCTTTTTAATATTCCCCAAAATATTTTTTTTTCGGGGGTGAGCTGACATCTCACAGGGAGTTGAGACATTGCAAGGCAAACTGCGCCCCCTTTTGTATATGAATACATGTACAAAAGTGGTAGAGTTTTTTTCTTTCCTTTTTTTCCTGTAACAGCCTCTGGCAACATTTGTATTCTATTGTTTCTTAATATCTCAAACTCATTTTTACAACAACTTGCCAATCAAGTTTAAAAACCATCTAAATAAAAATATATTGTAATACATTCAAGAACAAAAAAGAAATTCTATACACAAATGCACTGTAGCAGGACATAAAACTAGGAACAGAATTTTAAAAGCCACTAAGAAATCTAGGGAAATATAAAGTCATCAGCTAAAAGATTTGGCTCAAGTCATCTTGCAGAGGCTGCTATATGGATTAAGTGCCATCCCAGATGACCACCTGGAGTGCTGTAGAAAGAAGAAGCATTGCATTGTAAAATTTAAAACAGTATCTGGCCATTTTCATTAGGAAAAACATGAATATTCTGCCTTAAAAACAAATTTTATGTATTTAATTTGTACACTAACTCCCAATAGTAAAATACTATTCCCATACCCCTCCCCCAAATAAAATATAATGAGAACCAAGAACAAAATATTGATTTTCTGAGTAGCTGCTTCTTTCTTTCTTTCTTTCTTTCTTTCTTTCTTTCTTTCTTTCTTTCTTTCTTTTTCTTTTCTCTCTCTCTCTCTCTCTCTCTCTCTCTTTCTTTCTTTCTTTCTTATACAGGCTCTAGAAAATTGTGCATTTGTGTGATAGGCTGAAAACTTATAAGAATTTCTGAAGTAGTTGGGATTGCATAGAACAGCAGCAACAGGACACATACATTCACAGAAACAAATTATCAGTGTTATTCAGGTTAATCCCACTTTCAAACCAGACAACAAAGTGGATACAGAAAAGCCCCAAAACTGGACTCTTTCACTGTTCAAGGAAGGTAGGCCATGGAGGTCTGCCTGGAGCAGCCTAAAATGTCCTAAACAGGAAAGCACAGTATATGCCAGACTGGACCCATCCATTAGGAGAATATACCAGAATATACCATCTATATGATAGTTAATGAAAATGAGCAGATTTTTATCTTCAGCAAAAATAAAACAACTACCTTAGCACCAGTATCATTCATGGTAACTTAAGTCTTAGGCATAGGCTAAGGGGCAGATGAAAACAATATCATGAGAACATGGTAGAGAAAAGAGATTGACACATAATTGTAGCTAGTGAAGGTTTGCATTTGTGTATTTACATTTAGTTTGGGGGATTTTTTTTATATGAGTGCAAACATGCTGTGCATATGAGGAAGGGGATTTGCATTATCTTTGCAGTCACTCTTTACTGATGAGAAGCCCTTTAACATTCAAAAGATACTGTACTTACATAATTTAATAACAAGCTGATTCCTCTTGACTGCCCAATTAATCTAATTAATTTTTAAATTATCATTCATGAAATCTTAAAGTACTTTTAATACTCAGAAATGTATACAAATATTATTATTTTTTACCAAACTGAATACAAAGACAAGTTTGAGGCTATGGAGCAAACCTTGTTCTATCTAGAAACAGCAAATCAAAAGTAAGAGGGAAGTAGCATAATCTTTACAACAGTGCCTCCTCTGGCCAAAATTTCAGCTAATCTCTGTACACGCCCAGTTCATTTAGAACACCTGCAGGAAAGGTCAAATTAGCAGTTATGATGATCAAAGCATCACTGCTTCTCTAGTTGCATGGAAGCATATAAAAAGAGGCTTTGGCTACACATTGTAATTTTAACTTTTTTCTTTCCTTCAGGCACACCTAGTCTCACAGCATATAGTTAACTAACAAATAAGTGGTGCGGGGACACTAGTCTAAATAATTTGGGGAAAAGCTTTGAAAAGATGCTCAGGCTATCAGATGCCGGAGATGCTTACATTATATCTGATGAAGAAGGCAAGTATTATAGGCTAAGATTGGCTCTTGGGAAGTGAAAATATAGAACATGTGGCAGACTTGCAATATTCTTTTACTATATTGTTGCCTATTTCAATACAATATATTGCTACTTATGCTATGGAGTCAGTTTCCTAGTTTGGTCTACCTTGCAGGTCTGACAAGTTGTAACTAAGTCAAGAGGTTTGCCCCACCCTACATTATTATCTATCATAGCCTACCTGATTAGCTGAACATTGTAGTCATATGCCAACTGCATAGTGTTTCCATGGGTCTTTTTTATTCAATTTGGATCAAGACAAAGTAGGCTATCTCATTTTTTCCCAAAGGTACTTCTCCAAAAGGCAACTTTTAGAACTGAAGAAGCTTTTTGAATGAGAAGTGAGATATTTTCAAAGAAAAACCAAAAAAGTCCAGTTGTCTTTTGGAAAAGCACCTTTTGAGACAACCATGCCCTGGATGATTGAGAATCTTCATAGGCATCTCACTGCCTCAGTATTATACAGAGAAAAGCAAAACATTCTTCTGCCAATAGTTGGAGAAAAGATCCTAAGATAGTTTTAACCAGACATTGAGAAGCTGGAATTAACCTGAAGGGTCATGGAAATATAATAGTTGTATGGAACTGGAAATGATGAAAAGAATGTTGGTCGCAGAAAACCTGGGTTTCCAGCAAAATAACTGAAATCAAAATATTGAGGTTTGTTTCACACTGGACGAATATTTCTGTATTTCTGACTCTTATCGACCGGAATGTTTTGTAAAAGTGAAAAATACGATATGCTTGACAGTGCTGTTAAAAACATGAGTAAAAATAGAACAGTGAGGGTGGCCCCTCTTATTCTAGCTTGTTGTTTGTTACCGGCGAAGCGACAGCCTACTTCAAAGGGAGAATCTGAGCATGCTCCGTTATCCATAACTGAGCCTGTTTTTCATCTTTACAGCTTTGTTGCCCACGCTTCACATTACCTTGCAACTTTTCTCTCCCCAAGCATAAATCTGTTTTGATGTAAAATAGTAAATGGCACAACCCGGGGTCGTCTCCCCCCTTATTGTTTTATTGTATTTACATTTGTTTCCCGTCCGTCTGCAAGAATAAAGGACCCCAAGCAAGGGCAAAAAAGGTATAGGGCTTCAAAATGTACCATCGCGCATGCTCACTCCTGTCTGGCCGTGAAACTTGATGAACTGTTTGTGAGCCCGAGCCCCGGAAAGGTGCGGAGCAAAAATAATATCGGACGCTTGGGAATACAGTGGAAGTGTGCTGGTTTGACGCGCTGCTGGTAAGGTCTTGTTTTACTGCGGCGACGTGTTGCTCAGGGAGGAATCACGAGCCTAGTTTGGGTATTGTGGTGGGGGTGGTAATTGGGTGCCAACGCACAGGCACGCGCGCCATGGTGGCGATTGGGGAAAGCTGTACGACATCGGCAGAAATTCCAATTTAGGAACGTACGGGGAGAAACTGCAGCCTGGGTGAATATGGTTTGCTGGACGATAGCGAAAGCAGTCTGTTTGGCATATAATATAAATAAAATGGCTGTGTGCTGGGGTGGAAAGTCTTAAACACCCTGGCGATTTGAGCTTGCGTGCCCAAACCCCTTAGGATAATCCTTAGTGAATGCAACAAGAATGACTTCTGAGTCATCATGCAAAAAGACATCGAAGGTGACTCTACTGCCATTTTTTCCCTATAATGATTTAATTCTGCAAGCGATGGCTTGGCTTTGAAAAAGGCCCCTTGTGTTTGATGCCCCCGAGTTTAGAAAGAAAGCTCTACCATCCGAAAACGACTTTTGTAGCAAATAAAGGTCTAACTTCGGGGAGGGGGGGGTTAAGACTAAGATTTATATAGTTCTAATTTTAGTTTATTTAGATATCTGCTAGCATTAGTATTCTGTGGGTTATGAAATCATGATTCATGCAGTCTTCCTTCTCTTTTCTACTGGGGATAATTCCCCAAATCTAAAATTATTTCATAATGATTATAAACCACAAGGGAGTGCTGGGTTTGCAAAGTGGAGTCATAGTGATTATAGCATTATTGCTTTCCTTTACTTAAAATATGTAGAAAATTCTATCAGAATTTATCTACTTAAATGGGCAGAGAGAGGAAACTCATTTTTAGGCTTGTTCAGTTAGTCTGAGGCCTAGTATATTTCAGATATGATCTTGATTTTATGGCTTTATATTCTATGTTATATTTTTATAGCTAAAGCATACTTTGAAATGATCTTTGATTCAGAAGTGATCATTGCACTGCATTTCCCTTGCTTCCTTCAGCTAGACAGTGCCTTCCCCTAAGAACAGAAAAACCGGGAAAAAAAAACCTCATCCATTGCAAGCAACAGAAGATAATGTTTTACTTACAGTAGTTCTGAATCTACTTTGGCTGCACATTTACTTCATTCACCAATGTGGACAATCATTGTCTCCTAGTAGTTGATGACCGGAAAGAGAGGAAGGAAGGGGCAAGAAGGACAAACTATTTTGCTGCCAGCGTGTGAGCCTGCCTCCCAATTATGAAAGAAAGATGGGTTATATAATGAGTGGATAGTGCATATGGTCTTCTCCCTTGTTTAAAAGAATACTATTTTCCAATGCTTAGATAATGTAGGTTGTTTGAATCCAGTAGACTATGTGGGCATTGGCAATTAGGATTGTTCCATACCTTAATCTGCATTTAAAGATGATATTATAAGGCAGGTGGCAGCATGATAATCTTATTTTGTTTTAGAAGTTTGGAGGTCACTTCAATGACTCCTGTGGTTCACAATTTAAAAATTGAGAACAGTATTAAAAAATAAAAAATCATAAGCAGTTTTAAGACAGACATATAAACAAAATAGCCCATCACACAGGGTTGTTGAGGGAAAAATAGAAAAGCGTATTAGGTATGTTCCCTACTTTGAGTTATTTATAAAAATAGTAAAGAGAATATAAAATAACATAATAAAATCTTATTCAATAGGGGCTTCCTCTTCAGCCTCTCCAAGGCCAGGAAGAATAATCAGGTCTTCAGTATAGTTTGCTCAGCATCAAATGCGAGAGCTATTCAAATCCAAACCTTGCTTCAGTTTGGAAACAAAGTAGTGTTCAGTATCTGTACTAAGATCTGTACTAAGATTAAGCCCTATTTAAGAAAAACCAGGGTTATAAACTAAACTGGAAAGTCAAAAGGCATCTTGGAAGAAAGGACTGGCAAACCATTTCTGTGTTGTGCATATCAAATTGCATGTGTGTATCCATAAAGTTGAGTTTGATTTTAGTAGATTTTCAGTATAAGGCTAATGTCATCATCTGTCCTGTTCTTTTTTTCTCATTAGATTGCAACTGCTCACAATGTTTCTAGAGCATAGAAAATTTGCTTATGAATCTTCAGTGCTTGGGACTTAGAGATCACAGTCATCTGTTATGTTGATTTTACTTTGATAAGCATGCTGTACAGATCTAGCAGTTCTCTGGGTTCACACTTTTATGTTACAACACAAAGTGATTTGTTTGGTTTTTGTTGACGTTGTGCAAACCCAAATATAGTGATTTACTGTATTAATCATGTTTATGGCAAATGATGACAGTTGAGTAAAATATAGTGAAGGAAATTATGTCTTAGCCTGATCTAGCCCTTTGTATAAGGTTATTGAATGTTTTGTTTTACTCTCCTATGAACTACTACTGGATAGCATATATACTGTTAAAATAAATCCATAGAATGTAAAGTACAACCCTTATCATATTTATTCAGAAGAAAGTTTCACTGTATTTAGTGTCATGGGATTTTAAACTACTTGTTTTGTGAAACTAATCTCTTGCAAAAGTGGTAAATAGATCAGGTAAAAATATAAGAGATTACCATGGTTTAGGCCACAATAAATAGGAATATTTGTTTGCTTTGCAAACTGCAATCTTATATACACTTATTCTCAGAGGTTTTGAGTGACTGTAATGTCCAGGAATGTGCTGGCTTATCTTATAGCATTACTATGTGAAATGATGATCTTTTGAGAGAAGGTAAACCAGTTTCCTGTTGCAACTGAAGCAGTATATCAGTGATGGCGAACCTTTTAGAGACTGAGTGCCCAAAAACTGACCATGCTCCACCCCCTGCCCTACTCCTGCTCCACCCCCCCATCCCCCACCCCACCTGCCCACAGGGCCACTCATCGCCTCCAGGGCCTGCCGCAGATTGCCCAGGCAGCCCAGCAGCACTATGGCGGTCATGCCCTCTGCCCGTGCCCTGCAGCATCAACTGTGCACGATAGGATGTGAGGACAGAGTCTTGTCTACGCTGCCGGGCTGTCATGCTGCGCTGCTCCACATGGGCCAAGTTCGGGGGCGACTCTTCTTCAGGAGGGCTGCTAGAGAGGTCGTGGGGGGGAGGCGAGGCTGGGGCAGTGGCATGTGTGCCCACAGAGAGGGCTCCGAGTGCCGCTTCTGGCACCCGTGCCATAGGTTCGCCACCACTGCGGTATATAAAGCAAACTTCTATCTAGAATTCTCAATCCTTGAACAAGGATTCCATTGCCAAGTCTGTGATGTCAATAAATATCTTTAATGATAGATTATAAGGTGGGCTTGCTTAGAGAGGATGAGAATTTGTTAAAACAAATTAGAGATCAAAGTCGAACCCATATTAAAAGAATTTATGGTGTCTTGGTGGAATTGGACTCAGAAGTAGAGCTAGTTAAAGATTGTATGGTTAAGTGGGCACAAAATTTTGATGAACCAATTTTATTAGATACTTGGGAGATTATTTGGGTAAGGAATGTTAAATTCACGCAAGCCCAAAACTTACGGGAAAACTTTTATAAAATGTTTTATAGATGGCACCTTGATCCACAAAAAATGTCTTGTATGTATCCAAACCTGCAGCCTAAATGTTGGAGATGTGGTTGCTCGGATGCTACTTATTATCATATTTGGTGGTCATGTAAAAGTATTAAAGCTTTTTGGATTAAGATATGGTGGAATATTCAAAGAATTTTTAAAAGAAGGATAAAATTTACTCCACAATTGTTTTTGTTGGGTATTGTTTCTGATTGTGATGATAAAGAGATTATTTTAATGTTAAATTTAATTACTGCGGCTAGGTTGTTAATAGGGCAATATTGGAAGAAGGAATTTTTGCCTACTTTGCAAGAATGGTTTTTTAAAGTTTCCTGCTTAGCGGAAATGGCAAAAATTGCAGCTTTCTTGAAAGATCAATCGCAAGAGAAGTATCTTTCGGTGTGGAAAAGATGGATAAATTTTATACAATATAAGTATGATATAAGAAAATATTATCTAGCTTTTGAATATTTTATATAAGTTTAAGATATTATTTAGAAGTGTAATTGTTATTATTCTTTAATTTTTTATTTTTTATTTATTTCTTTTTATTTTCTTTTTTGTTTTTCCTCTTTTTGTTTCTTATATATAATGGAAGTTAAAGTATTTTACAATTTGTTTATTGTGTGTAATTATATTTGCTTAAGGTTTATTTGGGTTTAAAACTTTTTTTCTTTTAAGATCTAGTTAAGCCTGTATTCAGCTCTGGGAAGAACGGGGGAGGGTTTTGGGGTGGGTTGGGAAGGATTGGGGAAGGGGGTTTTTATTGTAAAATTTTAAAAAAATTTAATAAAAAAATAAAATAAAATAAATATCTTTAATATATAGTACTTGTATATTAGTGTTCCTGAATACCTAAATGTGGTATAGGTGTAAATAGAAATGTATTCAGGTGATATATACACTTGTTTTACTTATTTATGAAAACATGTTTCTTCAGCTTTGTGCACTCTTTAGTAATTTTTTTCTTTCTCTCTTTGTCTTTATTAGGTGAACTGTGTGAATCTGTGGGAGACTCCAGCCCTTGCAGGCTCTTGAGATCACTAGCTATAGGTGAGAAATTATGGGTAAAAAGAATAATAAATGCAGGATATAAACAATGAAAATTTGAAGCTTATGATTTTGTGAGCTAACATCCATCTAATACTATAAATGTAGTGTTTACTTTCTGTGATGCCACTATAGTGTCTGGTAGGAAAAAACATGCTGAGAATAGTACAAAATTCAGGTTATTGTAGTAATAAATACTATGTTTGTCAGTCATCATTCTTTCCTGCTTAGTTCTTGAGTGCTGTTTCAGAGCAGACTATCATTTTTCATACCATACAAACAACTTTGAAGGAGCTTTTCCAAATTGAAGAGATGCTTGTATTTAGATCTGTATAAGTATGAAATCTCATAGTGCTGATATTTATACTCAGAATATTAAAGATGTATATCTAGTTCTATACAGGATTTTGGAATTGTGTAGTGATGTTTTTTTCTTATAACCTTGAAATTTACTGCATTACTGTTGAATGCAGGGAAGTACGCCAGTTAATGTTTTTGTTTATAGGGAAGATTGCCAAATAGTGATAATCACTTTTTAATTTAATGAAGTATTTTCCAAATATAAACTATTTTTTTCTGAGTAGAGCTACAGGAAACAAGTCCAGTTGCCTAAAAATGCATGCTTGGCATTATTGTGAAATACGGCTGATTCACCATATTTTTCTGGAACCTGCGAATGAAGAATTAATTATGGGAAGAACTGTGATTAATTTATTTGAGATGACATAACTCCAGAAACACACTTAGACCATAATATAGAGTTGTATTTTAATTGTGGTGGCTTCTATATTTTTTATATTCTATTTGTAGATACTAATGAGAAATATTGCAGAGGTGCACCTGAAACTTAAAAGAGATCTCATTTGGAAATCCACCATAAATTAATACTCTTTCAGACTCTCAGGATTTCACTCTCAGTTGCAGTTTATAATCACATAATTAGTTATTGTTTTTTGTTGTAGTCATTAAATGTATTTAAAGCATACGTTGTTTGAAAATATGGAAGCAAACATAGCCCAAATCAAGCAAATGATTTTTGATAATGTTGTGTTCTTTACAAGGGCAGTTTTACAATCCCAGGAATATTTCAAATAAATATCTTTTATGAAGTCTCTCATAATTTTGAATCTGGTTGCAAGTCTTAGACTACCTGTATAAAAAATGTATTTTTCCCATTACGAAGAGTAATCAATGGCATGCTTATAATAGTGAAAAAATATATATCATAGAAAATGGTATTATTTATAAATTTGCTTGATTGAATTACCAGCTCACAAGCTGTTACAATTTCACAAACAAGAGTCTGAACTTTTTAATTTGTTTTTAACTTGGTAGAAGTTCTTTTTTTGCAAGAGTTGTCAAAATATTCTATCAATAATTCTCCAAACAAATCCTGCTGCAATAAATGGATTTAGAGTCTAAGGTTTGCTTTTATTAACTATTTTTCTGTCAACAGACATGGGAAAATCTCTTTCCATGCCTTTATCTGCTTTGAAAGATGATGGGGCTTCAACCTCTGATAACATGAAAAGTGGATTAATGCACTCTGACTCTCATAGTGAAGATGGAAAAAATGGAGATGTGTCACAGTTTCCATATGTTGAATTTACAGGAAGAGATAGTGTCACATGTCCCACTTGTCAGGGCACTGGGAGAATACCACGTGGTACGTGTAAAGTCAGAAGCAATTTCTGTGATAAATTCAGTTACTTTCATTATGTTTTCTTAAGCTAGCCTGTCCTTATATATAACAGTATTAGTATAAAATTTACAGTTTGATTTCCTTAGATTTTTCTTTTTTTTATTTGTATTCTATGATACCAACAATATAAACTCACAAGCTATATGATCACATTAATTATAAAATGTTGAGATAATATAACTATTTTAGAAAATTAAAATAATTCCAGAAGATTCAGTTTTGATATTAGTTTTTACGGAGCACAAACTTGATTGACTTCAAAACCTGGATTTGACTTATTTCTCTGTACAAAATGTTCTTAGCTAGCTATACTAGAGTTACAAGCAGAAAAAAAAATGGAAGTTATTTTGTACTTTCAGTTTAAACATATTCTCTGCTAGTCTGTACTCAGTATTGTTTTGTGGCAGCAATAAGCCCAGCAACTGAGGTGTTAAACGACATATTAGTTAAGTAAGATATCTTGTGATTGCTACTTGCAGTTTTATGCTAGCCTCTCCATTGAATTTGCTTGTCAGAAGCTAGCTGTGAAGTGCCCAAATGGCAATAACCATCACCATGGAATGCTACGTACTGATTATAAGTGCCAGAATGGCCATAAAGTTACTTTTCAGCACCTTCATAACATCTAATAGATACTAAACAGAGTAGTTGTTAAGTGAGCTCCACCTATACTGAGGTGTACTAATCTACATGTAATATGCATTGATTAAAATAAACTTTCAATTATCATCAAAATTACAGTATTTTAGTGGTATTGAAAAGAGGGTGCCTAGCTGTTGAGCAAAACCTTTGCAAGGCAGTGATTTAGAAGGTGTAATTTCATAGCTTGTTATAAAAAACTGTTTCCCCTAAAAATATTTTATGTGACAGTTTCTTTTAAAATATCTGCCTTTTGATAATTTTATTGTATCTGAAAAACATTGTTTTTTAATTTAGAGTGGTAGATGTATATGTTATGCAGGCGTTTGTTACAGAAATTTCAGCTTCATCAGTATATCATGTGGCATGTTTTACTGGCTTTATAACAGCAGCAATTGGGTATAGAAATGACAGCATGCTGGATTATATTCCAGGACAGGAAAATCAGCTTGTTGCCTTGATTCCATATAGTGATCAGAGACTGAGGCCAAGAAGAACGTAAGTTACCATAGTAATGACTGTATGTGGTATGGTAAATTTCTTTAAAGTTAGGTTTAACAAATCTACTATCAAATGGTTTAAATTAATACTTTTGTGTTTACATCTTAACCTTGGAAAATATTGCTCTGTACTAATAGTCAAAATACTTTGTGTTAACATAGCCTGCAAAACGGGTTGGGCTGCATTGCTTGAGCTGCTGACACTTGTTATTAGCAAAAATTCCTATTACATTTGGAGTTTTGCCATGTTGCACTGATTTGGTTTCAGGTGGGAGGCTTACCATGGGTTACAACATTCTAGAATTCCACCTTTTCTATCTTTGTTAATCCATATCCATGGCTTCATTCTCCAACTATTAAAAACCAGGAGATT